TCAGCACTTGTGCCACAGGTCTGCCCTAGCCGTTGCTGGTGCAGCGGTAGTACCGCGGGCCTGCACGGTTGTACCGCGTGACCTTGCGGTAGTACCGCTTGGCAGCAAGCGGAAGTACCGCGTGGCCCCACGGTAGTACCGCTTGCCTGGTGCAGTAGTACCGCGGGCCGCGAGCTGGTAGGTGGATAACGGTTGGATCTTTGTCCCTCACTATATAAGGGGTCCCCTTCTTCCCCGTCGACTTATCTCTTCCAACCCTAAGCTCCATTGTTGCTCTAAGCTCCATTTTCGCCCGATCTCACTCCTTAGCCAATCAAACTTGTTGATTTGCTCGGGAGTGGTTGAGAAGGCCTCGATCCACACTTCCACCAAGAGAAATTTGATTCCCCCCACTAATCCATTGTGGATCTTGTTACTCTTGGGTGTTTGAGCATCCTAGATGGTTGAGGTCACCGCGGAGCCATAGTCCATTGTGGTGAAGCTTCGTGGTGTCGTTGGGAGCCTCCAATTGAGTTGTGGAGATTGCCCCAACCTTGTTTGTAAAGGTTCGGTCGCCGCCTCCGAGGGCACCAATAGTGGAATCACGGCATCTCGCATTGTGTGAGGGCGTGAGGAGAATACGGTGGCCCTAGTGGCTTCTTGGGGAGCATTGTGCCTCCACACCGCTCCAACGGAGACATACTTCCCCTCAAAGGGAAGGAACTTCGGTAACACATGCTCGTCTCCACCGTCTCCACTCTTGGTTATCTCGTGCCTTTACTTGTGCAAGCTTATTTGTGTCATATCTCTTGCTTGCTTGTGTTCCTATCCTTGTTGCATCATATAGGTTGCTCACCTAGTTGCATATCTAGACAACCCACTTTGATGCAAAGTTTAAATTGTTAAAGAAAAGCTAAAAATTGTTAGTTGCCTATTCACCCCCCTCTAGTCAACCATATCGATCCTTTCAACAAGCCAGTGCGTCGTGGATATAATCCTAACAATAATAGGGGGTAGGAATGTAGAGGCAATCATATTTACCGAATGGTGCAAGTGGGACTACACTCAAGGAATTATACAGGTTCGGGCCCTCTGTAGTGGAGGTAATACCCTACTCCTGTGGTGCTCTTAACTCTTGGCGTAAGGTACAATGTGTGGATGTTCAATCCACAGCGAAGGTGCCCTCCCCTCTTAAATAGAGTGCACTAGGAGGGGGTACATAATGGGCTAGTGTTAGTGCAGTTAATGGCCTCATGCGCAGTCGATTGCTTCATGGCATTCACTACTGGTAACTGCCATATTTAACTAGATTATACCACCGTTGGGTAACTGCCATCACTAGAAGAACGTCCGTGCGTTGCAACGGGGCCACATTAACTTTAAGAGTTCAATATTAATATTCTCATACATATCAATCCTTCTTCTCCTTCCGTCTGCCACCGAGACAGGGACCTAGACTTTGTGCTGCTCTTATTGATTTCAAACCCAGACGAGATGGGGTGGTGGGAGGGGGGACGAAAAAACCCAGACGAAACAAAGGAGAAGGAGAGCCTCATCAGTAGCATCATGGTGAATTTCAAACATAGCGTTGTGCTCCGCCCAACGAACATGGACGCCGCCGGCGGCGGCCCTGTGGAGCTCGAACCCGAGAGACTCTGCTGCTTGCTGGGAGGGGTCGGGGAGGGTCGGAGCACATGAGCATTGACGTGAAGACAGAGTAGGCCGGGGAGATTACTGTGCACGCCGCACAGCGACTTGGACCTCGGAGGGCCTTAGCTCTGTCAGGAGGAGGTCCCGAGTTCCTGCCGAGGACAGCCTGACGGGGGAGACGCACGGCCGCTCGCGCTGCCCGCAACGCGACCACGCCCTGCCCTAGGGTTCTGCGACGGCGGCAGCGTCGTCCACAGCCACACCCTCTCTGAGTCCTGCCCTGAACTGGGGTTCCGAGATGGCGGCGGTGGCGGAGGTCTCTGAGGTTGGAGAGGGGCAAGATGTAGGACGGCGGAGGCTGGAGCCTGGAGCGATGGCGGCGTTTCGGGATTGCAGGCAGGGGGACGTGCGAGGTGAGTGTTTTTTTCACCGGTTTATGTTGTGTTGCCTGCACGGATATATAGGAGAACAAATAGGTGAATTATAATTCCTTCCATTGTATAAGTGCTGGGAAAGGAAGCGAGAGACAAAAATCAATCGAGGGGCCTTTAAGAGTAGAGATTAGTTAATTGGATTTTTCTTTAAAGTCTGTTATTTGTTTTCTTAAAATTTATTATATGTTTCCTAAATCAAATTGCATTGATGGGATGGATCGATTGATTTGGATAGTCTATTATTTGTTTCCTTCACATCCATTATATGTTTCCTAAAGCAAATTGCATTGATGAGATGGATCGTTTGATTTGGATGGATCGATTGATTTGTTTCCTTAAAATTGGATTTTTTTTAAAGTCTGTTATTTGTTTCCTTAAAATTTATTATATGTTTCCTAAATCAAATTGCATTGATGGGATGGATCGATTGATTTAGATAGTCTATTATTTGTTTCCTTCACATCCATTATATGTTTCCTAAAGCAAATTGCATTGATGAGATGGATCGTTTGATTTGGATGGATCGACTGATTTGTTTCCTTAAAATTGGAATTTTGCTTTAAAGTCTGTTATTTGTTTCCTTAAAATTTATTATATGTTTCCTAAATCAAATTGCATTGATGGAAGGGTGACGCATGGAAAGTTATGATCCGTTAAGATTTTTTTCGTTGTGTGAGAGGGTGACGCGAAACTAAACCGGTGGGGTAGGGGAGGGACGAAAAAAACCAGCGAAATGAAACGGGTGGGAGGTGGGAGGAAGTACCAAAGAAGTACCAAAAAAAACCGGGTGAGGTGGGACGAAAAAAAACCTAAATCAAATTGCATTGATGGGATGGATCGATTGATTTGGATAGTCTATTATTTGTTTCCTTCACATCCATTATATGTTTCCTAAAGCAAATTGCATTGATGAGATGGATCGTTTGATTTGGATGGATCGATTGATTTGTTTCCTTAAAATTGGATTTTTTTTTAAAGTCTGTTATTTGTTTCCTTAAAATTTATTATATGTTTCCTAAATCAAATTGCATTGATGGGATGGATCGATTGATTTAGATAGTCTATTATTTGTTTCCTTCACATCCATTATATGTTTCCTAAAGCAAATTGCATTGATGAGATGGATCGTTTGATTTGGATGGATCGATTGATTTGTTTCCTTAAAATTGGATTTTTCTTTAAAGTCTGTTATTTGTTTCCTTAAAATTTATTATATGTTTCCTAAATCAAATTGCATTGATGGAAGGGTGACGCATGGAAAGTTATGATCCGTTAAGATTTTTTTCGTTGTGTGAGAGGGTGACGCGAAACTAAACCGGTGGGGTAGGGGAGGGACGAAAAAGACCAGCGAAATGAAACGGGTGGGAGGTGGGAGGAAGTACCAAAGAAGTACCAAAAAAAACCGGGTGAGGTGGGACGAAAAAAACCCTGGAAGCGAGACTACCAACTGCTCCATTAGGAGTAGAGATTAGGGCATCATGGGTGAGAGGTATCCTAGGTAGCTGCCAACTGATGGTCTAGCCAACTGCTAGTGCTCGGCTGTCGGCCGACTCAGTATCCAACAGTTGGGACTTAGCGTGGTCCTGAGCCACCCTCCTTGTCGTTGATGGGCTGACGACAATGCCCCTTGGCCCATGGTCTTCTAGGTTGTATCTTGGATGGGTCATGGCCCTAAGGTGAGCCATTCGTATACTTGGGCCTACTTCGTATTTATAACCCCAACACAAGGCGACGACCTCAAAGATCCCGACTACGAGCCACCAGGAGGGTTGACGAGGAACAAAACGTTGAAGAACTGGTGGCCGAGGAGCCGATGTCCCGGGAGGGCACTAAGCTCAGTGACAAGGATATCCGGGCCCTAGACATACCTCGGGGTAGTCCGAGGCACGACCATGCTCGACTGCGGATTATGAAATCCTTGGGCAAGGCCTCGAGGGAGAGACGTCTCCTGGAGCGCAGAGTGGCCGAGTTAGACTAAGCGTGGGAACAATTCTAGGCCACTGAGCAGGAGACCATCCTAACGGCAACCAAGGCCGCCCTGACCATGAAGGGCGGGCAGATGAAGGAAGCCATGAAGAACACCAGGGAGTCGCCGTCCCATCACACACCAACGAATAACGTGCATGCGGTCGTCGAGGAGTTCGCCAGGATCAAGTTCCCCGCCAAACACATACAATGAAAGGAGCGGTTCGAGAAGGTCATGGAGTGGCTAAACACGTCAAACTCTTGAGGGTATCTAAGTATCCTCCCAAACTCTTGTACTTGCACCGTCTCTAATTTTCAAGTTCAAAGCTTTTCGTCCCGACATAATAGCCCTCCAAGTATGAGAGGTGTTCCTTTTTACAATCAATAGACACAAAATTGCCGTCATGATAATATTTTCCTTTCAAAGTCTAAAGCACATAGCGACTCCAGCTTATAAAATCAAGCGTCACCCTTGCTTTGCTAACATAGCTTCATGGAAGAGTACGAAATCCTTAAACCCAATGCCGACACATGCTTTCTCTCTCCCTCTCTTCCTACAAAAACTTAAGGTAGAAAAATGTGAAAGGAAAAGAAGAAAAAAGAATTTGGAGCGGCCCACTAGCCGCCCGTGGATGGAGCCCTTCATTGTTCAAAATTGAAAGCCTTACAAAGAGGCACACGGTCCATGGACCCACCTTGTCTCACCGTCGCCGTATTGTCCTTGTACAAGCCCAAGTTTCCTTTACTCGTCTCACTTCCCCATTCAGGCCCTCCTCTCCCTTTCGTTTCGACCGCGACCTCCTCCGAATCCACCGGCCGGCGGCGACCTCCTCTTCCTCCGCCCCTTCCCCCGGCGACCCTAACTTCCTCGGTAAGCCCCTCCACCCCCCTGCTCCCACATCCATCTATTGCTTTCTAGCACGCGTGCATCCTTACGTTACTCGCGAATCCGCTGTTACCGCAGCCCCACCGATGCAAGCCGCCGCGAGATCGCTCGCCGCGGCACGCCGCCTCGCGCCTCGCGGCCGGCGCCCCCTCCCCCTCCCTCGCCCCCGCTTCCACACCGCCTCGCCCCACGATCCGTCCCCGGATCCGGGCCCATACGTCGACCCAGGGCTCGTGAGCACGCTTAGCCGGCTCAGCGACTTCCGTGGCCCGCGCCACGACCTCCCCGCCGCGCTCCGCGGCTTCGCGCCGCGCATCACCCCCGACGCGGCGGCCGCGGTGCTGCGCCGGTGCCGCCACCTCCCCGTGCCGTCGCTCCGGTTCTTCCTCTTTGCCGCGGGGCTGCCCGGGTTCTCTCACCTGCCGGATTCGCTCCTCATCCTGGCCAATTCGCTCGCTGGTGCGCGGCTCTTCCCGCTGCTGCGCTCGCTGCTGTCTGACCTCCCACCGGCTGCGCTCTCGCGGGGTCTCTTCCCGCGGCTGTTCCGTGCTTACTCGCGTGCGCTTCTCCCAGATGATGCGATCCGGGCCTTCTCCTCCATGGCGGGGTTCGGCTTCCACCCAACGCTGGCCGATTTCCACTCACTGCTATTCGCCTTGTGCCATAATGGCCTTGTAAATCATGCTGAGGTCTTCTTCAGAGAGTCGGGGGCCCATTTTGATGTCTCAGCCAAGACGTACACCATCCTGATCTCTGGGTGGGCTGTTGTGGAGAAGCCGGAAAACGCGCAAAAGTTATTTGATGAAATGGTTGAGAGAGGTGTTGAGCCTGATGTGCCTGCCTACAATGCGTTGATTGATGCCTTATGCCGCGGAGGTGATATTGCACGTGCGCAGGAACATCTGAAAGATATGCAACAGAGCCGTGGGCTTGTTCCAGATGCTGCCACTTATGGTCCATTCCTTCGTGCTGCCTGTGCATCCAAGGATGCTCGGGATGCTCTTCGTGTGCTAGATAGGATGCGCATGCATGACCTCACACCAAATGTATTCACATATAATGCTATAATTCGGTTATTGTGCGAACTGGGAGAGATTGAGGAGGCTTATAATATCCTTGGTGAGATCATCACGAGAGGGGAAAAGCCTGATGTTTGGACATACAACACACTGCTTAATGCGCATTGTAAGAAGAATGAGGTGAACAAGTCTTTGAGGCTTATTGCAAGAATGGATAAAGGCTTGTGTGTGCCAGATCGTCATTCTTACAACATGTTACTAAAATTGTTGATTGGCGTAGGAAGGATTGATAAGGCTGTTGAGGTATGGGACGGGATGGAAACACGTGGCTTTCACCCAGGCGCAGCAACTTATGCTGTCATGATCCATGGGTTATCTTGCAAGAAGGGAAGATTAGAGGAGGCCTGCGGCTATTTTGTGATGATGGTGGATGAAGGTATCCCACCCTACCAGGCCACTTGTGAGGTTTTGAGGGATAGGCTGACAAGGCATGGCCTGAGGGATCAACTTGAGGTCCTCATTGACAGGATGAGGCGGAGCACTTCCTGCACGATACAAGAAATGGCAAGTATCATGCGCAGTACTAAGAGGGCTGATGAAACTAGAAGCACGAGCAGTGACCAAGAACTCCCAGGGCATGATCTCGATGAGAATGAATGGAGGGGGAAATGGAAACTAGGAGACTGAAGAGTGATTCATAAGGCTTGCCTACAAGCCCTCTATGGTGTACTATTTTCTTGTTTGTCTCCCTATTATTGTACAACAGTACAACTTTAAGGTAGTAAAATGTCCAGTCTATGCCATATGGAAGTTGTACTAATACAATAGACTAAGTAGAGTGATTAGTTAATGAAAATAGGATAGGATGCTCAATTCCTGGTCAAGCAATTGATGTTGGAGTTTAAAGTATACCTACCTTTTCCTTGTCACCTTTTCGCATGTGTGCTTCTCCTTGAGAATTAGGCTGCTATGAATAAATTCCAACATTAAAACTGTTTCTCATTTGCTGATATGAACTATAATATTCCGCTCTAGCTTTTACCTTTTCATACTATCATACTCCCTCCGTTCCTAAATATAAGTCTTTTTAGAGATTTCAATAAGGACTACATACGGATGTATATAGACATATTTTAGAGTGTAGATTCACTTATTTTGCTTCGTATATAGTCCGCATTGGAATATCTAAAAAGATGGAGAGAGTACGTACGTCTGTCAAGATGCTTCAAATAATTCTTTCAGCAGGATGCCTTTATTGGTATTAAATGTAATACCTTGCAAATCTCTACTATTAAAGGAGAGATAGTTGGTTTCGTTTGCATTGCTTCCACCCCTCCCATCGATACATGACCCCCTCCCATTGATTTGTTTCCAAACCACGCGATAACCCTAATTGATTTTTTTCCAAACCGGCCCTACCTCCTTGTTTCTGGGGAAAGAATCCTGTAGTTGTGCGTACACAATCTCAATCACATAATATCTTTCCTTACCTTTGCCTATGGATTCCCTTTCCACAACATATCTCAATCTCAACCCAATATTTTTTTTCCTACGTTGAACCAGTAGAATAAAGTTGACCCCATTGCTACGCACGGGTATTCAGCTAGTACTATTTAATACTGTGCTATATTTCACCCATTATGAGTTAATACCCTGACACATTAGTCATTTAATTTCACCTCTATATGTAGTTCTTCTGTATAGTATCATAATCATTAGTGTTAACTCATTTGCTGAATCTGTTTTTCCAGGCTAATATGGATTCAGAGCCCTCATCGCAGAACCCAACAGACATGACTGCATTTGTAAGTACTGATATTATATACTTGTAGCGTCATAACACTGTTCACATTAATAATATTTCATCTGTCTTCTGGTGGAATAATTGGCTTAACGTAAGACCTAAATATCTTTGACGAGTTTGTACATTCTGTATGCATCAAATTGGAGTGTTCGCATATTCTAGCAGCACTGAAAGTAGTTGCTATTTTAACTAGTAAGCTGAAAAACATTGGCGTAGCATTGACTTAGTAGATGGTGAGGTTAACAGTCAAGTTTTGTACTAGTTGTTTCCAACCACTGAAGAAGTCTTTTTCCGCCTTTGAGGAACCAGAGGTGTATCACTTTGTTTAACAGTATAATAATTTTTATTTTGTACTGATGTTAAGCTTTCTATTTCAGGTGCAAAACCTCCTCGGTCAGATGGTGAGTGCCTTTGAATACGTTTTCGTTAATATCTACACTTGGGTCTTTACAAACACTTTACACTCATTAACTTGATGATGGATTTCAGCAAACAAGGTTTGAGTCTATGTCCCAGAACATCGTGTCAAAGAATATCCTTATCGGCGGAATGTCATTATTTTGTTTCTACCACAATAATTTTTTTCATGGCCACATTGGTTCATTATCTTATGCCATCGCACAATTTACTAGGGATAACATTATATTCTAGTATATCTGATGTCAGGTTATTATGATGTCATATGCATTTATGATGCTGATACATAAAAAATAGTATTCTACAATGTTATGCATTTCTTTTTTAATTCTTGTTTGGAAACTTGTAACATTCATCAACTTTTTGATATTAACAGAAACACCCCAAATGTACGTGCATATATGATATACCAATATATCACACGTCGTTAGGCAATAAACATGGAAATTGGAAACATATTGTTGTTTTCAGAAATCTATGCTGCTGCTATAATGCTCACCAGCAAAACTAGAAGCGGTATACTCCAGTTTGGTATCCCTTAGTTTGAGTTTTGTTTGTAAGATCCTTTGTCTGATTAGCTTATGTTTAGCGCAACTTTATACTGTACTACTTCATAAGTTGATAGTGTACCAAGATTCTTGCTACATCAGTGCAAGGCTAGTGACAGAATTTTCACAGCATACTTGAATAAATAATCAAAGTACCTATTCTATCATATTGACATCAGAAGAACTCCTTGCATCATGCGCTTTTTTTAATACAAAATCCATCTCAGTTTGAGTGCATCAAATTTGAGCCAAGTTGATTGTTGCATGAATTGAACATGCCTGTGGACTGCCATACTCTGTTTTCTTTAACTCCATTGCACTAGATGAAATGGGAACCAAGATCGACGAGCTGGAGCAGAGCGTAAACGATCTCAAAGCTGAGATGGGCACCACCGACATACCTGTCAAGAAGCCCGATGAGGCAAAGCCTGCCGACTCCGCATAACTCATGTGTAGGCAAGAGATTGGGTAGTAAAGGTATGGTGGCTATATGACAGAAGTTTACAGCATTCATGTGTATCTGATGATGTATTCCCATGGACCATAGCTCTTGTACTACCGTGTGTGCTACCTATTGCTGCCGCTGGAGCTTCAGCTCTCCAGAGCCCAGACGCCGTTATTAGTTGATAGGTTGTTTCCCTATGATCATTCTCGTACTTGTTGGTTTGCCTGTTCAAAGCTGTTGCTGCAAGAGCCAGACGATGCCTCAGACAATTTTTATGGCAGTGGGCCTATTGGGTTGTTCCCCTATGCAATTTTTGTGTGACACACTGCTCTTCTGTAGATTCTGTTCAAAGCTGGATTGCGTTGCATGCTGAATTTTTTCTATACAATGCATAGCCCTAGGGTGATGCCTCGCATGCCATGTACTTCATCCGATCCAAAATAGATGACTCAACTCCCGAACGCGGTAGTTAAAATAATTCTAGAATTTGAAGAAGTTGGTGGGCTGCCGAACGCGCCCTTGGTACAAAGTTGAGTCATCTATTTTGGAATGGAGGGAGTAGAATGTTCGGATAGGGAAGCGAGTAGAATGTTCGGATAGGGAAGCGGGATTCTCTGCAGGAGACGGGTGCTTGGAGAGAAAAAAGTGTGGTCCGATGTCAAAAATTAAAAGGGTTGAAGTGAAAAGTAGCGATGCATGTGTATTAGAGTTTTTATTTTCTATTTTTTGAGGACAGGGCGTCAACCCGTTGGCTGGGCAGCTGAGGTTGCTGCCAGCCCACCCAAGTTCGAGTCCCGGCACGGACGCGTGGTGCTCACGGAGTTTCTCCTATAAAGAAAAGCCAACGAGGGTTAGCCCTTGGGTTGGTCTCATTTTTTTTATTTTCTATTTTTTAATGGGGTCCACTAGTGATAGCTTGCATTGAGAAGAAAAAAAAAAGAAATATAGATGCCTTAAATTACTTTTTGTCATGAGATATGTGTATCCGTATGCCATCATTGTACATGCCCTTTGACGGTCTACATCTACAAGCGTCACATTTATGTTGTGTCTCACGAGTCTGACAGTCTGAGCGCCTTGCGTACAAACCCTTGCCCGAACATGGTTGGCCCGGCGCTCCGCCGACGGTAGGTTGCGCTCGCCGGCGCACCTGCATCCGACGAACCCCGGCACGAGCACGCGCTCCACCCATGACACGACGAGCTCGCGTCGCATCGCCCTTCCGGTCTCCCACCGGCCACCACCACCGCGGCGCCAACCCCCAAAAGGCCAAAGCGCTCGGCCAGGAGGCAAAACCGCAAAAGACGAGCCAAGGCAACCGATCACTCGCCGACTCCTGGGCCCCGCCTGCCACCTCCGCTTCGCCGCCTCCACCAACCCGCCTCCTTGTTATTTCCGAGAAATAAACCACCCTCGACGTCCCACCTCGCCGCCTCCGCCCGACGACCTCCCCCACGCCCCGCCGCCGCCACCGCCGCGATACAATAAGGCCCGGCCTCGGCGCCTCCGCTCCCGCCAACCCCTCAGCATGGCCCACCAACTCCTCCTCCCCTCCAAGCCCCTCCTGCCCGCCGCGGCCGCCGCCACCCCGCGCCGCGCCTGCGGCCGCCCCGTCGTCTCCGTCCGCGCGTCGGCGGCTGCCTCCTCGAAGGCCGTCGGGGCGGAGGCCGTGCGGTCGATCCGCGCGCGGCAGATCGTGGACAGCCGGGGGAACCCCACCGTCGAGGTCGACCTCGTCGCCGGCGACGGCAGCCTCCACCGCTCCGCCGTTCCCAGCGGGGCCTCCACGGGGATCTACGAGGCCCTCGAGCTCCGCGACGGGGACAAGTCGGTCTACGGAGGGAAGGGCGTGCTCACCGCCGTCCGCAACATCAACGAGGTCATCGCGCCCAAGCTCGTCGGAGTCGACGTGAGGTGAGCCTTGGTTAAGAAACAAAATCTCAAGCTAGCCTCATAAAAATGCTGGATCCAATCACCCGTGTCTCCGGTAGTTATTTACAGTATTTGTTTGTTTGAGTAATGTGGCTACGGTACTTGGGTGGGGAAACGTGGTGTTGTGCACTTGCTGTAGATTCATGATCTTCTGGCCGTGGTGATAACTATTGATTTTCAAGTAGAACTACAATGTAGTGAGATTGATGTGATAGGGTATTTGTCCGCGTTTAGTGAGAATTGGATTGCTCATTACTCATTAGTACTTAATACTGGTGGAGTAATGTTAGGCAATGGAAAAACTTATGTCAGTTGCTTCTGGGCTCTGTGAACTTTAAACATCTGACTGTTGTTCATATTTATTAATGAGCTTGCTGTTCTTGCTATACCAGTTATGATATTTGGTTCCAATCCTGCTGCTGTTGCCACTGACTGACCGTCTTATTCTAAACATCTTGTTTGCTCTGTTCAGTACTTTAGTAAGTGATAGTGATCCTTTTTTGAACAATGATTGGTGAGAAGAGGGCTCTATTGAATATTCATGTTACGTCCCCAAAAGAAAAAAGGAAATATATATGTCAAGATGAAAATGCATACAAAATGGTAAATCCTGTACAGAAATAAAACTGTCAAAAGCAGACAGTTTATGTAGCTCCTGGGCAAACGAAAAAGATATAAATGTAAATTCAAACCTCCATGAGTCAAGATCCATGCTTACTTCTTAAAACAAAGATAATATACCGAAAACTAGTTATATCCTTGCACACACTTGTGGCCATCAGTTTCTGCGAAGCTCTCTGTAAGCTATTTGATATCTGTAATGATGTTGACCTTTGCTAAGCATATCAATTTAGTGGCTTCGTAGATTTGTACTGATCTAGCTGCGATTACTGAAGTTTCCACTCTGGAGCACTTTTTCCTAAATGTGAAGTGGAGTTTGTAAGTACTGCTGGACAGGGTGTATCTTTTGTGTGTCCATGATGATGATAACCATGCAAGATTAATTGTGCACTTGGTCTAAGCTCTAAGCCTCTATGTGATAGCCTGGCTTATTAGGGATGGTAGACTACTCATATCAATAAGGAATTCCTTCTTTTCCGGGAGCCCATTCGGAAAGAACTCCACAGTTAAGCGTGCTCAGCTTGGAGTAGTTTCAGGATGGGTGACCGACCGGGAAGTTGCTCCCGGGTGCGCACGAGTGAGGACAAAGTGCGCAGAAAAGACTAGTATTGATCTGTGGGGCCAGTCTAGATCCCGCCAGGAGTAACGACCACCGGCGGGTGTGTCCGGGGCGTTACACTCTAACTACCTTTCTGGTTGTGGCGATGTGGTAGTAAGCTCTGCATGATGATGAACTTGGTGATCAATGTGCAAGGAAGTCAAATCGATTGAGCTCTTGCTCAAGAAGAATAAACTTTTTTCGAATTGTCATAGTAGCCACTGCATGGTTACAGTTGTACTGACTGCCATGTCCCATGTTAGCTAAGCTTTTGCATTTGCCTCGCTTATCAGTATGGATTTGTAGCGGGATTGGTAAACTTCTAGCTTCAGCAATCTCAGTGCACTTATCTAATGGATGGCATAGTAGTCTTATTTAGAAATTTTTCTTGGGATCAGTCGCGGAGCTAGCTCCCGGCGACCTGGGGCAGCTGCCCGGGCTGCTCCAGCCATTCTTCACTAAACAATACAAAGAAACCATGATTAGCATTACTAATTACTTGGGCAAATGCTGGGCAACATCGCTATGTAAAGACTTTGCCCCGGCTCCTTCAGCTGGCTGGCTCCGCCACTGCTTGGGATACTAATGGTACAATATGTGGAGCATGCCTCAGCTGAAGGAACAGAAGAACTACATTACATTAAGTGCATATTACAAAATCACTAGCATCCAGTTCTAGTGATGAACACTAAAAGATTTTTGGATATACCTAACAACCGTTTCTGTCGGCTTGATTCCCTAAATTTGCGAAGGATGAAATTACATGGATTACTTGGAATCGGGCATGACCGCATGGGGGAGGGAACCATGCGATTCTACCACTTCCAAATTGACTAAACCTTAGTAGTGTTGAAAGGCATGCCAACTAACATAAAATGTGCTATCGCCTTTGTTAGTTTGCATCCATATAGCTGAGGTTCTATCAAGTTACTCTTATCATCCGTCCTCTGTGCCTGGCATCTAATTTCTAATGCAAACTTCATTTGTCATTTTGTCAGGAACCAGAAAGATGTTGATGCGATCATGCTTGACATCGATGGAACTGAAAACAAATCACAGCTGGGTGCCAATGCTATTCTTGGAGTCTCTTTAAGCGTATGCAGGGCTGGCGCTTCTGCAAAAGGAGTTCCTCTGTATAAACATATCCAGGAGCTGTCAGGCACCAAGGAGCTTGTCATGCCTGTCCCAGCTTTCAATGTAATAAACGGAGGTAGCCATGCTGGTAATAATCTGGCTATGCAGGAATTCATGCTTTTACCTGTGGGGGCAACTTCATTTGCCGAGGCTCTTCGTATGGGTAGTGAAGGTAATTTCTTGTATTTTCTTCAACTAAACCGTCTTACCTCTTGGTTGTGACTTGTAAATTATCATGATTATCCAGCAAGCATTTCTTTGGGGGCTGTTTCTTCTAGACTTCTGCTCAGTTTTTCTTTTTGGCCGTTCCATCTTACTGAGAATTGTCTGCTTCACTTGTCCATTCTACAGTTTACCATGTTCTCAAGGGCATCATTAAGGCGAAATACGGTCAAGATGCATGCAATGTTGGAGATGAAGGTGGTTTTGCTCCCAATGTTCAAGACAACAGGGAGGGCCTTGTTTTGCTTATGGATGCCATTGAGAAGGCAGGCTACACTGGAAAGGTGTGTTGCCATTTTTTCTTATTTTGCTGGCCACCTTCTCGATCATTCTTTCCTCTTTCGATTTATAAAACTGAGAAAAACACCATGTTGCAGATTAAAATTGGAATGGATGTTGCAGCATCAGAATTCCTTATGAAGGATGGAAGCTATGATTTAAACTTTAAGAACCAGCCTAATAACGGAGCTCATGTTCTTTCGGCCCAGTCTCT